CATTCACGTGACGTTGACGCTGCTATTGAAACTCGCACTAACATTCCTAAACAAAGGCGTCACTTGCAGTCTTGCAAATTTTGTCTGAGACACTTTATACGAAAATTCGTATTTTTTCATAACAATATCTTGTTATGTAGGACAAAACATGATAAAACGCTAAGAGACGTTTCAGCCGAAATGCACGTGTTGCATAAACGAACACTGCGAAATACGGCAAGTAAATCAAAAGTGCACGCGCTGCAGAAACATCACGTTACACTTTTGAACTGTTGGGTAATTAGGTCGGTAACCTAATTCCTTAATTTCATGAATGATATATAAAGAGTTGGACCACCTACTCGAAAGAGAAAGAGTAGAGAGAAAAGTACTGTCCAGTCTAAAGGCGCACGTTACATATCTCAGGTGAGAGACAACTGACTCGAGAGTAATACGAGTGTCCTGCATTACAATAACGCGATACATTAATCTAATCGATGTAGGATAAGCTAAAAAGTATATATGTGAAGTGCAATAAGAGCGTGATCAGGAATTGTAAGAAGACAAGTTCTATTACATTGAATAATACATTTTATTAAGAAACTCCTCAAGACTACTAGATTCCCTTATTATCCTATACATTTGCACGTCTGCACCGGATCCCAATTACCGGTTGTGCTTATCGTAACCGAAGGCACAACAAAATTGGTGGCAGCGGTGGGATCCCGCGGTGTCCAAGCCTGCAACAAAAAGGAATAAGGGGGAAAGGTCAAGTTGAAAGACTCAAAAATATTGGGAACCAAAATTAAACTATGAGGGACGAGACACGAGAAAATATCTCGACGACTCAATAGAAGCAAAATCAAGGAGATCTAAGGAACCGGAACGGACAACGCCACGGCAGAATCGAGGATGATCGTCGGAGATACGATCACCAGAACGCCTGCTGTCAGCGACACCGGAGCCTACAGTACATCAGCATACCGAGCTAACCCGTCCCAAGCATCATACGTCGGAGTAATGTACAGGGAGCAGAGGCAGCCCCAGCTGATTCAACCTTGACACCGAGCAACGACCAACAGCGGATCGTGTACCAGAAACACCGCCAACACAGCGAAAGAAAAAGTATACCACATGCGAATCATGGCGATAATGTAAGTCCAAAACAAACACTGTAATCTATACGCATATTGAATGTCGGAAGGAAGCAATATACCCCGCGAATCGATAAGAAACCATACCTGGTTGCATAGTGAGCCTGCAACCAGAACCTTAAGACGACTCGCTGGGTTAGATAACTTTGAAATTCCTCGCTTAATAGACAACACAAGACAACTAATCGACCAAAGCGTGCGCCGTACTTTGAATTTTAATAACGACAGCTCTCACACGATTGACTCTCCCGCGCATGTAACAATAGAGCGTGAATTTCCATTCAGGGAATTAGATACTAGTATAATACATCAGCACAATCTAACGTGAATACCCGGATTAGAAGGCGAATACGGTTATCTTCAACAAGTTCTGTTAGTGATATATCTGTACAAGGTGAATTCTCACTCACCTCTTACGGCAGCTCAGTATTTGAACGATCGGATAACGAAGACGAAGCAAATATGAACAATTCACCTCATAGGGAAACACGTACGGTAGGAAATAACGAAATCGATCGAGAAATAGAAAGGCTAAGAGCTGAATATGA